CCCGTGTGTTCTCGAAGGCCGATCTAGCACAGGGATACTGGCACGTTCAACTAGACACAGAGTCCAGCATGCTCACGACATTTCAAACATGTTTCGGACGATATAGGTGGCTGAGACTCCCATTCGGCACATCAGTTTCGTCTGAAATCTTTCAGAAAAAACTCATTGATGCACTTGGCGGGCTGACAGGAGTAGCATGTATCGCTGATGATGTGATAATCCACGCAGCAACAGTCGAAGAACATGACCAGGTACTGGATGCATTCCTGGCAAGATGTCGCGAAAAGAGGATCAAACTGAACAGCGATAAATTCCAGCTGCGAATGGAAGAATTAACATTCATGGGTCACCGCATCTCAAAAGATGGTTTGCAGGTTGATGATGAGAAAAAGTCAGAGCTGTCATGGCGATGAAACCACCTACAAACATGGACAGTCTACGTCGATTCTTGAGGTTAGTGAACTACATAGCCAAGTTTCTTCGCAACCTCACTGAGGTGGTACAGCCTCTACGCAATCTCATGAAGAAAGATGTGCCATTGACGTGGTGTGCGACACAAGACCAAGCATTCCTGCGGGTGAAAGAGATGGTGTCCGACACGCCGGTTCTTGCATTTTACGACCCTAAGAAATATCTAGTATTAGAGAATGATGCTAGTGAATATGGAGTGGGGTCAGTGTTGCTCCAAGATGGTCGACCTGTAGCGTTCGCGAGTCGTTCTCTGACAGACACAGAGACAAGATACGCGGAAATCGAAAAAGATATGCTCGCTGTAGCATTCGAGTTGGAGAAATTCCATTACTACACGTACGGTCGGAAAGTGACAATAATCACAGATCACAAGCCACTGGTAGCGATTGTGTCAAACCCGTTGTCAAAGACACCCAGAAGACTACAGTCTCTACTGTTGCGGACCCAGAAATACGTGTTTGGACTTGTATATAAACCAGGTACATCCATACCCGTGGCTGATGCACTGTCTCGCAATCCACTAACAGACAAACCAGTCACAGACGTTGTAACAGTTAACAACGTTTCCTTTTCTCCCATCAGGAGGGGCCGTTTGGAGGAGATTCGGGTAGCGTCGGAAAAGGATCAGACGTTTACAGAACTCAAGAGCACAATCATGAAAGGATGGCCAGATGACAAATCACGGTTACCACCTACAATCACTCCGTTTTTCAACTACAGAGACGAACTTTCGGTTCAAGACGGTATATATCATACTTCAAGGTGAGAGAGTAGTTATCCCAAGGTCCATGCGGGCGGATATCAAACGCAAGGTACATGCTGGACACATGGGCATCAACTCCTGTCTACGGAGGGCACGTGAGTTAGTTTTCTGGCCGGGAATGTCGGCTGACATTCGCCAGCATGTTGAAGCATGCAATGTGTGTGCTACATACAGTGACAGGCAAGGACCTGAAACATTGTTCATGCATGAAGTTCCAGGCCGTCCGTGGGAGAAGGTTGGCTCTGACCTGTTGTCCTTTGAGGGTAGAACATATATGGTCACGGTTGACTACTACAGCAAGTTCTTTGAAATTGACTACCTCATTGACACAGGCTCTGCGGCGGTCATAGACAAGCTAAAACATCATTTCGCCCGACATGGCATACCTGACACGGTTATTACTGACAGTGGACCTCAGTACAACTCGAAGAAGTTTAGAACATTCAGCACAACATGGGGTTTTACACATGAAATGACAAGCCCAGGGAATAGCAAGGCCAATGGAGCTGCTGAGGCAGCGGTAAAGTCAGCGAAAAAACGCATGCGGAAATGTAAGGCATCTAGAGAGGACCCCTATCTCGGACTGCTCAACCTAAGAAACACACCAACGGAGAGTCTCCAGACTAGCCCGGCACAGAGACTTGTGGGCAGGAGGACTAAAACTATGTTTCCAACTACGCTAGACAAATTAAGACCAACGTACCAGGATGCCGTAGTTACTAAAATGGACGACAAGCGAGCAACGCTGGCCCAGCGTAAAAATGAGTTCAGACATCATCTTCCACCATTGAAGGTCGGTGACACGGTCAGGATGCAACCGATTCAGACAGGGTTAAAAGAGTGGAAGCCCGCTACGGTCACTAAACAGCTCAAAAGCAGAACTTATGAGGTGACGGCTAGCAACGGTAGAACATATAAACGTAACAGACAGTTCTTGCGAGTTTCTAGAGCCAATGACGCTTTTGGAAATGAAAAGGTGACTCATGTGCCTACGGCTGTAGGTAAGCCCACAACTGGTGAGCTGGTAGTTCCGACTACGTCGAAGGAGCCGGCTGATGTTACGACACAGCTGGANGGGTTACGAGAGTAGCGCGTAGGCGACTCCCTAGATCGCTGTTAGGTGGAGTAGGTGACGGTACGGGTTCGGATATGAGTATAGTTACAAAGGGTACCGCTTCCGCAGGTGCCTCGCAAGTAAGCGTTGTCCCGGTTGTCGAGACAACCAGGAATGTCTTGCGCCGGACAAGCCTGAACCGAGTCGCAGAACATTGTCGCGGTGGACAACCAAGAAAAAGTGACCAAAACGTTACTTTATTTTACTGTTTTTTCAGGGCGGGTTCTCACAGGCACTTTATGAGCCTGCGCGGGCCCGCATTAATCTATGCTGTGGCCGCAAAGCGATGCATACAGCTGCCTATTTCCAACACTTGGTATATGTCAGGTTCTTCTGATGTGAGTGAGAGGTGAATCGATTTGGAACCAGCAAACCTAAAGTTCCAGCCCTACATTTGGGTCATTTTTATGCCATTTGATTACTTTTTGAAATTGTGCGATGGCTACTTGCCATAGCAAAACACAACAACAGTGTGGGGCGTGTATTCCATGTTGGGATCCGAAGTTTTAAAAAAAAGCGATAATTTGTCGTATTCAGAATGAAGGCTGTACATGTACTCAAAGTGCCCGCAAATACCAATCTCCTGCGATCTCATTTATCGAAATTTTCCTGGGGGGAGGACCCATACCCCGCGCCTTGATTTTTCCTCAACCCCTTCCCTGCCGCAATCCTAGATCACCATGCTGAACACGATGTACATATGCTTGGTGAGCAGAGACAGATGAAACAGAAATGTCGCTGTTTCGCAATGGCCACCACCCGAAAAACAATAAGATTGCAGGAGAAGGTAGAGGAGCTATGTGGACAGGGGAGGCGGAGAGAGCCATTAAAATAGTTAAGTCAGATCCAACTATTGTTGCGCAGTTCGCTGTTTTTTTGGCCCCCCGTTGTTTAAAAAAAATTCTGGCTACCCAGTAGTTTTTGGGTGTTTGTGCTGACCAGTATGAGTTATGTGCATTGAAAATAGGATTCGATATTTTTTTGGGCAACCAGAAATTGTTGCGAAGCAACCGGATTTTGATGTCCTGGGTTGTCGCCAGGACACCACATTTTCTTGTTCTTAGGTTTCAGAGCACTGGTGTCGGGTATACGACGGCGTACCAGAGGAGCTTCCGGCGGTTACCCGGGGGACATAGACCATCTCAGCACATATTCATCGTTCGAGTACGCGGTGATACGACCATGACCCTTCAGCAGTAAGGGTTGTCGTACTAAGTGCGACTTATACATGAAGCTGCAATGTAAAGTTCGCTTATTCTGTGGCAGCTGGATCCGAGCTTTTGGTTGGTGTATGTTTTGTGTTATGATGAACACGAATATGAAGGTCGCAACACACAAATATACGAGGTCTTACTAGAAGAGCGTGCCTTTATGTCCGAGCAGTCGGGTCTACTTGGCGTGCCTCATGAACTTGGTCCGATCGGTTATGCAGCCCCCGCCTTCTTTATCACCGACCGCTTCTTAGCCTCGTAAACCCACACGCGTGGGAGTCATATGGTCAATCCCCGGTAATCACTACATCCCCCGTCTGGCTGAACTGGATGGGGGTGGCTTATATGAATATGAACATATCAATTGGTAAACAGCTGTGAAGACATTGTACAGGTACGTTGCGCTCAGCACAGGAGCCGAAACGAGGCTAAACGCTGTTTGACTCCTTTAAAAAATTCAGAAGAAATCAACTCAATTGACTGGGTTGGCCGCTGGGTCATCGTGGTATTGGATACACTATGGATATCTGGCGCGACTCGCCTCTTTTAAACTACACAAGAGACACTATGTCTATTGCACATACAGCTGTGGGTATGTGGATCCTCGATGGCTCTTATAATGTTAAGCTTCTGAAAATGCGTGAAACAAGAAATGCAAGGACACGTACATCAGCTTCGCCTAAATTCCTTAACACTAGGAATACATCAAACTCCCGGCAGCCTCCCTGCCGGCGAATGGCTCACAGCTTTTTAGGTGCTGCCAATTCACACTGTAGCAGACTAATAGAATTCGGTTGCGGCTGAACCCTGTGGTCGAGCGCCCTTTCTTCTTTGGATCTGAGCGCCACATCTAAACACATGATTATACACTTTGGCCGTACATGAACATAAATCGGGTCTAGTGATATGTGACAAGCACTGACTGTGCTTACATGATGAATCATTAAAAAACGTCAACCCTTGGTCTCACTACCACTGATTTTCACCTATGTCTTGTGTGCGACGATGGTGCTGGCCGCCTGTCCTGGGTGTGTGTTTTGTGGGTGTTTAACCATCTGCTCTTTAGACTAATCTCTTTAGTGCTACGGATGTGTCACGGCCAAACCTGGACGCAGCTGGTGATTTGATCCGAGGTTATCGTGTTCGTGGGTGTCTCCGATCACCATGTAATAGGTCCTGATCGTCTCCACCTTTATGTGCCTGTGCAGAGATTCGGGTACTGGGAGTGTTGTGACCACCGGTGGTGCTGCACATCCATCAGCAAAAGTCGTTACACTTGTTGTGCGAGCTAGTCTGGTGTCGCGCTACGGGTGTAATTGCGGCGGTCGTTTATCGTGCCCTCAGACTGTTGACCTGTTCTCGTTCGCTTAGGTATACTCAGGCCGCTTGGGTGTCCCTGGAAGACGCTTCGTAGATGACCTTGGCTCGTCACCACCCGTGTGAACCTGAGCCGGCATCCATGTCGTGATCACCTTCTGGGTTCGAGCCGTGTCTGACTTTCTGGGGCCCGACCGACAGGGTCCTAACCCTAATCCTAACCCTAACCATATCAAATAGTGACCAGGGTACGTTCCGGTATACCGGACCGTACCCAGGGTACGTACCGGCAGTACCCTGGGGGACATAGACCCTATGAGCCATATATGTACCCGAGGTACATATATGTATACACAGGTGTACCAGACGAATGTTGTTTCAACATAACCATACCGCTGCGCTAAATGTACCCCGGCGGGAAGTGTCGTTCAGTCACGTGGTATTGTCGTAAAAGCCGGAAATCGGTCCAACTCGCGCCATATGTCATCGAGCCATTGAGCGCCATTGAACAAACCATCTTTTGTTATTATTAAAACGGCATTGTCGAATCAACACAATGGACGTCAGTCAAGACGAATTGCTGACATATCTAGACAGCCTGGTGGTGTATGAATTGGCAAGTCATTGGCCGTCAGCAAGGTATTTTCATCGTCGTCATTGTTCCGTAATTACTGTTAAGTGTTAAGTGATACTTTATGAGTTATTATGCCAGTAGATGGCGCTACGCGTACATCCGGGATGTAGGGAGGAGAAGCTTCCATGTTGTAGTGAAGATGAGATAATAAACCTACGATACTGACATATACCTGTGTTGATGCCTCATTTAACAAGACACAACACGTAACATGGTGGCAGCGTGTAAACGAACTACGCACGCCGATGTCTACATGAACAGTCGTACAAGAAAGCGCATTCTACATGAATGATGGATCGATTGTTCTGGAACTTTGCTCTGTCGCACATGTATTGTGTGTGCCTGCATGGTTAACATTTTAACTGTGGTGTACTGTCTGCCTACGAGTGTTGACAAGTCGCTAATTGTATATTAGCCCAAGTAAAGGCAAACAACAAGCAAACATGGCAGAGGGCCAAGACGGCGCTAATTTAGCCGAGGCTGGTGCTGAGGCAGAGACCCCCCACAGAGGTGTGAATGGTCAAGACCAACATCCGGTACAACCGCGACCGGTACCCGGCATACGACCACCACAGCCCGTGTGTTTTGAATGTACTCCTGCAGAGAACTGGAAAATATTCAAACAAAAGTGGGGTAACTATGCAATAATCACAAATCTAGCAGCTCAGGAAAAAGAATACCAAGTAGCCCTGTTGTTGCATACATTAGGGGAGGAAGCCCTCAAAGGCATATAACGGTTTCCAGTTCAGCACACCTGCATCACAGAGAACTATAGATGAAGTCTTAGAGCAGTTTGACAAATTTGCAATTGGAGAAATCAACGAAACATACGAGCGCTATTTGTTCAACAAAAGAGACCAAAAAGAGTCTGAAAGCTTTGAATATTTTCACGCCAGCATAAGGTAATTAGTGAACACATTTTCATCCATCATCAGGGACAGAATCGTGTTAGGTATAACCGACGCTAGTACGCAGCAGGCTTTGTTGAAAGAGAGAAACCTAACACTAGTGACATGCATTGACGTGTGCAAGGCGGCAGAAAACGCGTCCACACAATACAAGACGCTTCGTCCTGAGACCGTCAACAAAGTAACTGCCCCGAAACAGAAGGCGATGCGTCCCCTTAAAATGGCACATCAATCACAGGGAAAAATCTGCACGTTCTGTGGGCTCTCACATGTGTTTGTAAAGTCTGCATGCCCAGCATGGGGGAAGACATGTAGTGTATGTAAACAAAGAAATCATTTTGCGAAAAATGTTCCAACTCCAAGCAGCCACGAGCTAGGGAGGTTCACAGAGTGGCAGAAGATGAATCTGACGGGGAGGAGTGGCTCTACTCTGTCAGATCACCTAAACCGTATAAAGATATAAAGTGCCTAATGTCAATTGGCAAACACAAGGTTGTGTTCCAGGTGGACACTGGAGCATCTGTGAACATTCTGCCAGCTCGTTTTGCACCAAGTGGGACCCCAACGACTGAAAAATTGAAGATGTGGAATGGCAACAAGTACAGCCCTCTCGGAACATGTCGTACAACTGTACGTAACCCTAAGGGGGGCAAGAAGTATTCAGTGGAGTTCACAGTGGTGAAAGAGGATCTAACACCCCTTCTGGGGCTAACGACAGCTGAGCAAATGAAACTGATAGCGGTCAACGAGGAGCAAGTGGAAAGAGTAGCAGTTGTGTCAATCCCTGACAGACATGCCGCTCTGTTTGACGAAACACTTGGAACGTTTCACGGTAGGTCACACCTCAATGTGGGCAACACAGTGATACCAGTAGTGATGCCTGCTAGGAGAGTACCACTTGCAATTCGTCCCCGACTGAAAACAGAACCTGGAGCGTTTGACAGAGATTGGTGTCATCACTCCAGTAGATGAACCAACCCCGTGGGTCAGCCAGCTCGTGATTGCTGAAAAGAAGTCTGGCAAGCTGCGGATATGCTTAGACCCTCGGGAGCTCAACAAGGCCCTAAAAAGGGAGCATTATACACTGCCAATATTAGATGACATGCTACATGAGTTGAGTCAATCCCGTGTGTTCTCGAAGGCCGATCTAGCACAGGGATACTGGCACGTTCCACTAGACACAGCGTCCAGCATACTCACGACATTTCAAACATGTTTCGGACGATATGGGTGGCTGAGACTCCCATTCGGCACATCAGTTTCGTCTGAAATCTTTCAGAAAAAACTCATTGATGCACTTGGCGGGCTGACAGGAGTAGCATGTATCGCCGATGATGTGATAATTCACGCAGCAACAGTCGAAGAACATTGACCAGGTACTGGATGCATTCCTGGCAAGATGTCGCGAAAAGAGGATCAAACTGAACAGCGATAAATTCCAGCTGCGAATGGAAGAATTAACATTCATGGGTCACCGCATCTCAAAAGATGGTTTGTATTGCAGGTTAATGATGAGAAAGTCAGAGCTGTCATGGCAATGAAACCACCTACAAACATGGACGGTCTACGTCGATTCTTGGGGTTAGTGAACTACATGGCCAAGTTTCTTCCCAACCTTACTGAGGTGGTACAGCCTCTACGCAATCTCATGAAGAAAGATGTGCCATGGACGTGGTCTGCGACACAAGACCAAGCATTCCTGCGGGTGAAAGAGATGGTGTCCAACACGCCAGTTCTTGCATTTTACGACCCTACGAAAGATCTAGTATTAGAGAATGATGCTAGTGAATATG